TATTCACTCCGCTTCCTCCCGTCGTCGCCTACTTCGTCGTCGCCCCCCCGTCAGCGTCGTCGCCCCGCGCCAGCGGGAGGCGCCCTAGGAGTCAGTTAGACTGCTGCATATGCAGAGTTCTCTTCAACGAACGGCAACAAACGTAACTTGAAAAAAATCGTATCTTCCCACCGCAATCGGTGGCATGACTGGGCTATGCCAGAAATGACGGCGTTCAAGGATTCGTCATGGAAGCAACTGAAAAATCTCGGGTTCCCGAAATGTCGGATACCTATTGTCAAGTGTGCAAACATGTGATGTTTGGGCACTAAAGGTATCTGCGTTGCCTCTGCCAATGAGAGGTGGCGGAGGCAGAGGTCCAACAGCTTTTGGCACGTGCCTAGGGGCACCACTCTGGGGCTCTCCCTAAGTATAGCCATGTACTCTAGTAGGGCACCACCTGCATGTTTCAAAACTGTCCCATTGGCCAGGGCACCTTCCTTGCGACTACACAGATCTACAGCCCACGCGAGTAGAACACAAGTTTCATGTGCTTTCAGTTTCAAACCTCTGGCCTTGTCACTACCCAACATACTTTTGGTCAGGTGGTTCAGCCTGTCCCCGTGATCTATGTTTGCTCTAGAATACCAGGCCTTGATATCTACCCATATGTGTTGGACGCCACGGCTCACCACGGCCTTCCTCGGGCCGTCGACCCTCCAAACGTTCGAATCCAAAGACGCCCACATCACGAACATGACGTATGATTGCAGCACTCCTAGATACACCGTGTGTAGCATGTCTATGCGCATGGTGACGTGAGGCGAAGCACCTACCTCAGCGCAAAATATAGGATTGCGCTTGAGAACTCGGTCATTGATTCGATTACCATCCCAGCGTCTCCTCCAAAAGGTAACTCTGAATGGTATAGGGGTTGTCTCAAAGTTTGCAACGTCTTGCAATTCAGGTCCTGGATCAAGCCTGTCCCATTTCTTGAGAAGGACGTCACCTATCATGACATCGTGCTCAAGTATTCTACCCCTAGTTTTGGACCTGTCGAAGTGCAAGCCACCATCACGCATGATAGCGCGCTTCTTAAGCTCGGAATCCACCACAACCTGGAATTCGCAAAGTTGACACGCAGCCTCGTATGCACCAGCCTGAAGGTCACCCCAAGCATGTCCCAGAAGCGAAATGTTACCAAAGTTGAATCTGCGCCAGCGTGGGGCCAGCAAGCTGAAACCAGTGGCTCGACTTTCCGAACAAAACCTCCCTCCTTGTTCTCCTCTTCCTGATCCTCCCCCCGCCCAGCCCTCTCCCTCCCTTCCTCGCGTCCAATCCTGGTCCCTCCCTTCCTCCCGTCCAATAGGCTGGTCCCTCCCTTCCTCCCTGATCCTCCTTTTCCATGCTTCCGCAGTCCGCCGTCCCCCTCGATGTTCGATTGGTTTGGGTATTTGTCGGGGCTGCGCCAGCAGTCGCATAGATCGGGCTTGTTCGCACCACAGAATATGCACGGGAAATTATGACTAGCCCACGTCGGCAGACCAAATGATGTTGTGTGTTCAGACCAATCGCCAGTAATATCTACCAGCAAGAAACGGGCTGGCAGCTTGGGCTCACTCTCCGACAGCAGCTTGAGTGGGTCGTCATCTGACATTGCAGAATTGTCCCAATTCCGTTGGGGCCGAATCCCGCTGGCGAGACTCTTCAACGTCCATGCGATGAAATTGAAGACAGGCCGTAAACTGCACCACCCCCTGCACCCACAGTCACACGTCTCCCTCTTAGACAATGTTCCCAGGAAGTGCCTCTTAGAGGTAGCTAAATTGTGCACCGAAAAATTGTATAGCGAGTCCCATTTTCCAGGGCCGATACTCCTAGTGAACCTGACCCCATCTAGATATAGTGCCAGCGGGTAGCATGGTCGAAGGTCACCTTCGATATGACGGTGAGGGTGGTCCTCGAAACTTTTCGCCCAATAGCCTTCGGCTTGAGCTGTGTTCATATACGATGTTTGCACCTCTAGCGCCAAAGCCTCATGCAACGCAACGAATGGAACGACTTTCTCCTATAGGGGGTGCCGATGGGGAAACGGGGCTCGTTAACAATTGTTGTCCCCCCCCCCTCTTGAGGGGGGAGGGGTATAAGGGCTTGTTGGGTTTATCCCTCCGTCCTCCTCCTCCCGTCGCCCTCGAACCCTTCCTCAGCCATCCTTTTGTTGGCCCCGTCCGTCCTGGCGCTGCCCTCGCAGCAACAGAGGAACCTTAAGACTGCAATAGTGGACCTTAGATTCTTGCGGAAGAACAGCCTCTAGATGTCGCTGAAAGTTCCCGTCGTTGGTGTGCGAGTGGTATGACAATTTCCCCCATAGTTTACCAGATGCACCTGCCTCGCGAGCGAGTTTTGAAATTATGCACGTGTCTTTCCCGCTTAGTTTCCCCAGGGCGTACATCCGAAGTAGATAGTTGGCTAGCTCATCACCTTTCCGCTCCTCGGTAGCCAGAGTTCCCCGTTGGCCCGAGCGTTCCCATGACGACGTTGCTCCAGAGCTCTCCCAGCTGTGCAACCTAACTGGCCGTACAGGCGAGGGATCCTTGCGTGGGCGTTTTTGCCGCCCCTGCGGCGGCATGAGAAAGCTCTGCCTCGAGCCAAGCAGCTATCGCAATAATATTTCTTGTGCGGCCTACTCAACTATAGTAGCACAATGTTTTTTTTTGTTTCTGGAGGTCGAGGGGTGCCAGATGGGGGGTGCCCGGAGGATCACTGCTGGATCACCGCTGGATCACCGGTAGATCACCGCTCGATCACCGCATCGTTTTTTGAGGATGTCTGCAGCGAAATCGCCTGGATCACCGCTGGATCACCGCTGGATCACTGCTGGATCACCGCTGGAACACCGCTGGGTAGCTGCTGTGTTTTTTGTTAGGGCTGTCAAGTTTCGATCCTGAGGCTCGGTTGGCTCAAGCTGGGGGAGGGGGGAGGGGGGATACAGGACAACATTTAGCTCGGCCCCAGAATTCGAGCTGCCACAACTCACGATTGTAATTGAACTCGAGTCTGCAAGTGCGCAGACGTACACCGCCCTAGATCACCCGCACGAGGTCGGTCACTCCGAGCTGTCGCCGCGGTTCGACAGGTCCTTCATCTGGCGCAGCCACACGAGCGCATCCTGGAGCTTCCCGAGCTCCGCGAGGATCTTCATTGACGACTTGTAGCGCTCATCTGCAGGGTAGGACTCGTCGTCAATACCGTTCAGGATCATGTTGCTGAACGGGTCCTCGGCGTTGTAGATGTCCATGACCTTGCTGAGCCGCGTCTGCACACGCGGCAAGAAGGACCGAATGGACGCCCACTCCTCATCGGAAGTAGCTTTGTCGATGATTGACCTGTGCTGGCTCAACGTTGGAAAAAATCCTGACCCTCCTCCTCCTCCTCCTCCTCCTCCTCCTCCTCTTCCTCCTCCTCCTATTCCTCCTCATCGTCCTCCCTCCTCCTCCTCCTCCTCCTCCTCCTCCTCCTCCTCCTCCTCCTCCTCCCCCTCTTCCTCCCCCTCCTCATCCTCCTCTTCCTCCTCCTCTCCCTCTCCTCCTCCTCCTCCTCGCGTGACCTGGCGCTCTGGGTAGTGGTGGAGTAAGTGTTGAGCACGTCCTGAATCGCCTTGGTGAACGCCTTCCCCTCGGGGACCTTGTCGGACTTGGGTGTCTTCTTGCCCTTGCCAGACTCCTTCTCCTTCTTGTCCTTCGTGCTCGTCTTGTCCTTCTTCTCCTTCCCTGCAGGTTTTCCGACCCTCGGGGTCGAGGGCTTGTCGTTGCCAGTGTTCCCCGTGCTCTTCTCGGTCTTGAGCGGCGTCTCCGTGGCAGTGCGCAAACCCTGAGTCTGCGGCGTTGCCTCGGCGTGCGTGGCGGGATCGTCTCGATCTCGAGGCAGTCCAGAAGATGCTGCTCCTGTGCGCTGCTTTTTGCCGTTGTGCTCCTCGGTGATGTTCTGGTAACTCTTCCTCGTGTCCAATATGCTCCGCTTCGTCCTCCTGGTAAATTCAAGACGGCCTGAATCGGGGTTTATCGAGACGTATGGCGGTCCTTTGCGAATCATGTTCCGCGCTATGTTAAGCGCCCCCTGCACCGCACTCGGTCGGTCGAACCCGCCCTCCGCTTGAATCAAGGCGTCGAGGTTCATGGGCGTACCGATGATCTGATCGGACTCCACGCGCTCCTCGATCAGCTTCCTGGTCTTCTCGAGGTACTGGAACCGCGCCAACGCCCAGTCCTGCCGCTCCTTCTCCTTGTAGGAGTTGGAGCCGTTGTCGTACGCGAGCACCTGCTGCTCGGTCCAGTGCTTCTTCATCCACCGCTCGAACCGACTGCCGAGCGCCGTCCGCTTCTTGAACTTGAAGCCCGTCTTCCGAGCCTCGTCCAGGAGGTCCCACAGCACGGCGTCGTCCCCGTCGAGGGCGGCCACTGGTGCACCGTCGCCGCCTTCAGCATCCTGCCAGCCCTGCGCCTGGAACATTGTCATGAGCTCCTGCTCGAAATCGCGCGATGCCATGAACTTCTTTGCGCCGATGTTCTTGATCTCTAACTCCAGCAGCGCCTGCGCCTTAAGCATGTCCACGGGTCCCTCAGCTTCGACGACAACTCGATCATGTTGATCAGCTTCATGACCAAAGCGCATGTGTTCTTCTTCTGCATCGATGTCAGAAGCTGGACTTGCACCTGGCGCAGCAGGTACAAGGGGTAGCTCATCCGACGAAGGAGGACCGTCCATCATTCTGGTACGCCGCACCTTGCTGGCTCAAACCGAAAATCCTCCTTCTCCTCCAGAGGATCTGAGGAAAGGGGGGAAGAGGAGGAGGGGGAGTAGGAGGTGCTTAAGGAGCGTAGGTGGAATGTTGTAGACGGTGTTGTTAACCCCACCTTTCGCTCATCCACGCCAACGGCCAGTTTACCCTGCTGAGCCGCCTCGTCCTTATGAAACAAAACGTAAGCATAGATCTGAGGAGAGGTTAGAGAGTGCAGGAAATGTTAAGTTACGAACCGATACTTAATCGGTCGGTCCTGGTGGTCCCCCTCGTAGGGCCGCACACGGCCAGCACGCGTGTCGGCAATCTTGGCGTTCCCGATCATGAGCTCGCAGTCGCTGTCGCTCGCGACCTCCGTCGGTGATCCACATGGAGAATTCGGGCAGCTCATCGCCCGAAGCTCGAAGTTCAAGTGAACAGCGCCTGAAACCCCTGAGGCGCTCGACCAAACGTGGCCATGGACAGGAGGAGGATGAGGAGGAGGATACTGAGGAGGAGGTGGGGGGGGAGGAGGAGGAGGAGGAGGAGCAGGATGAGGGGGGGGGGAGAGGGATCGGATCGGAGGAGGGCGAGGAGGAGGAGGAGGACAATGACGGGGGTTCCGATGGGACGGGCTTCGAATGACGAGGGATACGAGTGAGGCGAGGGGGAGGAGGGAGGATACAGGGAAGAGAGCGATGAGGATGATGATGAAGTCATTCCCAGATCTCCTGATCTAGAACTCGAGCCAGTGCTTGGTGGGCACGATGCTGGACGGGCGAGGCCTCTCACTGCTCGGGCTGCCAATTGCGCGCCTCGTAGGAGTAGGAGATGTGCACGGCGTCGATGGCGCAGCCGTCTCGGGCCCGAGATCCGCAACCGTATCCACTGCCGATGGCTTCTTCTTGATCGCTGCAGCGGGCCGCTTCATCCTGATACCAGAAGGTAATGATGGATCACCGTCATGTTTCTCGTACTTGTTTTTCTCGTCGATGCAATCCTGCTTGTTGATCTCCCCGGCCGCGAGCTTGACGGCCAACGACTTCACGAACTCGAAGGCGGTGTCCTTGTTGCCCTTGAATACCTTGGCAACGTTCATGTGGAACACTGCTGACCCGCCCAACATGATACGAGCGTACTGAATTTTTGTGGCGCCTTTGGCACCGTCCCAACGGAAATCTGCAACGATCTTCTTGCCATCGAGCTCGGCGCGGTACACGTACGACTTGGTGTCGTTGGCAGCGCTGGCATCGGCAGAGCTGGCCGCTTGCCCTTGTGCTGGCATGCCACGC